TTGCGATAAAAATATCAAATATTCCATTCATTTTCTGTTCAAGTGATCTGGAAGTCAATAAAATACTTGATTTTTCAGTTCAATTATTTTGAGAAAATTCAGAAAAATCAGGGAAATTCTGGGAAAAATTGAATATTCATGTCATTTTTTTTCCGAATATTGATGTTCCACTGGAAATTCAATCAAGTTGTAAAATTTCCATCTCACTCCCATTGAAAACTCATGAATTTCCGTGAATTCTACTTAAAACTGGAAATTCCATAACCATTTTTCCCTACTAAATTCGATTCAATGTCACTCCCATGGGATTGACTATTGAGCTTGTGACAGAAGCTTTATTGCAAATTCAGTATTTTATGAATTTCCAGAGTTTGCGAAAGCTCACGCCATTCATTGACCGCCGACTTGAATCATTTTGGTATAATGCCGGCAGGTCTGCCAGCATATTAGTTTACCATAAAAACAACACCTAGGTGCACGCACCCAACTACAAAATGGGGAAATGCCGAGGAAACGCCTGGTGAGCGGATATTAAATTTTTGGATTAAATATCAAGTGAATTGACAATTAATTAGTGTATTGTTCTGATTAATCTAATATCCCATGATCCGAAGAATTTGAATAAATGTGGAATAACTAACCGTGTATATATGGACCCAAGTTATGTCAACGAACCAACAGCACGAAAAAAAGAAAAATTATACTATTACGGCCTGGATGAAAATTCGAGGAATAAAATTTTTTTAGTTATTTCCTGTTATTAATTTTTGAGAAGGTAAGGGAGTGCCATACAGATATAATCATCTATTCACATTAAATATATGTTCATCAAATCCATGCCACTACCCATAGAATTTTCGGTGAGGGGTCCATCTTTATCGGTGAATGAATCAACAATCACGTGAATACAAAAACATTAGTGAGGGTGCATATATCTCAGGGATCCCCATCAATATTAGATTTCAGTAATATTACCCAAATTTGCCCTTACATTATTGAAGGTTTAAAATATGTTGATTCAATTTTTCCAATATTATATCCGCTATATATTTTTAAAGATTTCGATCATTTTTCATGAAAAATTTATTCAAAATATGAGTGTTCCACCCTGCAACGATTTTTTTGGAAATCCTAACAAATTTATTAACATTTCACCATCAATCGTTTTCATGCCTAAAAATAAGGTTTCCGAAAGTTTAAACAATTTTAATTATTTGTTTGCAAGAAGAGAATGTATGAAAGAATAATAATTATTTACAAAATGTGATTGAAATAAAGCTTCATGATTTTTTTTAAATTTTCACACGTAATTTGATTGAAAAATTTAATCATTGAGAATGTCTGAATGTATAATGTGATCCCTATCAAACTGTAACAAGTACTTAAATATATCCTCAAATTTACTGGGGAGATACTGGACCAGTCAAATTTTTGGTGCAACCCAATAAATTTACTGGACAGATAAATTTTAACAGTCTGTTAGTCTAACAGGCTGTTAAATTCCCCTAACAGGGGTCGGTGCAATCGGGCCTCAAATGAATAAGTTTATTGAAATAGTACCACATAATTTTCGTTTCAAATTAAATAAAAAAATTTATTCAAAGTTTTGTTTCTAGTGAATAAATGTTTTTTTTTTTACTATTGATAAATGTTTATTTGAATCAAATAAATTTTTTCTGTGAACTGAATAAATATTTATTTGATACTAAAAATTTATTATCGATTTGAGTTGGTAATTAAATCGAAAAACATTGAACGGAAACATAAAATGATTAATAGGGGGGGGAGGGGAATTTTTATTCTAAAAGAGTGTAATAAAAAATTGGATCAGAATGATTCTAGAGAGCTCATACCATCCAAATTCCACGTTTCCTGTATGAATGAATATTGTTGAAACACACTTTCGAAATTCTACCACCAAATACACGAAAATATGATTTTCTTGAAATGAAAAAACTGTTTATTTGAGCTAAATAAACTGTTTATTTAATTTTAAAAAATGATTTTGTTGAAATACATAAACTATTTGTTTAATATAAGTGAATTCTTTTTCTCGAAATAAGTAAACAAGTTTATTCGTTTCTAATAAAAATATTCTGGAAATAAGTAAAAAATTTCAAATAAAGATTTTCAGTTAAGGCCCGGGTGTACTATTTTTTGAACGTTATCTCGATGTTTTTTTTTTCATCTTTCGTCATCTGAAATTGTCAATTAAGTCCTGCATCATGCAGAAGTTTTGAAAAATTATGAATGAATAATCAAAAAAAAGTAGAAAAAATTCTTAATTTTTTCAAAGAGCATTTTTAATTTATATTCAGAATAGGTTGAATAACAAGAAATTGAAAAATGTATCTGATTTATGGCGACAGATGGCGGACTGTCAACCAATATCATGCAGGGGGACGACGAAAGATTTCTACATACCACTGTTTTGAAAATTGAGATACCTAGCTGTCACTTCCCATGAGGAGTTAGTGTTTTGTTATCCACCATGGAAAATGACAGCTAATAGATAATTTGTCACAGCGAATCAGATATTTGTAATTTTCACTTTTTTCAACTCATTCTGAATCTCAATTAAAAACGTTCTTTGAAAAAGTTGAGAATTTTTTCTACTTTTTCAACATTTTATCATATTTTTTGGGAATTTCTACATGATGCACCACTCAATTGACAATTTTGGATTACGAAATATAAAAAAAATCCAGATAACATTTGAAAGATAGTACATCCAGGCCTTAGTTAAAAGAAAAAAGGAGTTGAATTTCAAAAAACTAATTCGTAATTGTTATTGTACACTTTTTTTTCAAAAATTTAGACAAGGAAGAAACCTTTGTAGCTTAAAAACTGGAGGCCCTGGACTATATTTAACATTTTAAGCGTCTGCGGGGCAAACGAACAATAAACAATTAATTTTTATGCACTAATTCTTCACTTTTATATACATAATCGACCTTCAATGTATGAGATATCGCATTCCAATGGTCCGCGACTTTTAAAACTCATAGTAGTCTCCCCTTAATGACATAATTGTAATTGATCAAAATTAATCTTTGCACACCCAACTGTCATCAATTTGTTAATATGAACTAGGAAAATTGAATATTAAGTCTCTCAGAGGAAATTACGCGATATACAACGTACTCGTTGACAAGTTGAATATGGTCGAGTTTATGCATGAATAAAGTGCTCTTAAGATGGAGCATAAAATGTATTTGATCGAAGTTTTATCTTAACTGGTGATTGATCCCGAGATTAAACATCTATTGTATACGTTTATCTCCAAAAAATCGCATCCGGCACCAATTATCGGTACTATTGGAAAATTTTTCACTCCAGTTCCTGATGATAAGGAGGCTATCAATTATTGTGTTTACAATGTGGGAAATTTTACATTCTGTGAATAGCGGGGTTATCATCGGATATCGATCAATAATGATAATATAATTGCGTTGATATCCAACTCGAATCGTCAGTTTTAATCTTTATTTCCTTTTTACTCCTTTGTACCCTAAGTCTAGACTAATTATTTTTATAATTCACGAAAGAAATACATATGGCGATATGTGACATGGATGTGAATTACATTAAAATATAATCAGTGAGACATGTCGGAAATTTGTAAACATCACAGGAAATCATTATAATTGTGCATTTTAATATAAATCCAAAATTGTTTTTTACTAAACACAAAAAAACTATTCTATAAGATAAAAGTTAAATTAGCCTGTAAAAAATTGTATTGTTTTCCTACTGAAGGACTACTAGTATTTTTCAATATATATTTCACCCAGAAAAATAATTTATTTGAATGACATGAATATGTGATTTTCTTCCAATACGAAATATTCTTTATTTGATGGAAATAAATTATTTATTTGATATCATTAAATCCTATCTTTTTAAATAAGTAAAGAAATTTATTCATTTGTAACGATGACATTCTTGAAACAAGGTAAAAATTTCAGATAATGAATTTTATTTGATTCAAATGAACTATTTCTCTGGATGTTCTCATTTAAGAGAATCAATAAATAGTGACTCTTTTATGTAATTTACTCTATTGGGGTATTTGTATACGAAGTTTAATAAATGATTTCTTTGGAATAAATAAATTTTTTTCTTGAATTTAATCAAAGATTTATTTTAAATTAATAAATTATTCGATATAATTAAATCCTTTTATTTCAAAAATGAACAAAAAAGTTTATTCATTTATAATAACTACATCCTTGAACCAAGTAACAAATTTCAAATGAATTTTTTTATTAGATTCAAATGAGCCATTTTTCATTTCTCAATGGGAAAAAAATCTATAAATTTTGACTCTCCTATGTAATTTACTCCGTTGGAATTTTTCTACATATCTCATAGGCATGAATATATTCTGTTTTTCTTCACATATTGCAATTTGAAACAAAAAAAATACAGAAATAATTTATTTGAATGAAATGAATTTGTGATTTTCTTCAAATACGAAATATGCTTTATTTGGTAGAAACAAACAAATTTATTCATTTGTAATGATCACATTTTTGAAACAAGGTAAAAATTTCAGACAATGAATTTTCTTTGATTGAAATGAACTATTTCTCTGGATGTTCTCAATGAAGAGATTCAATAAATGGCGATTCTTTTATATAATTTACTCTATTGGAATTGTATACGTTGGATAGGACGTTTAATAAATGATTTCTTTGGAATAAATAAATTGTTTTCTTGAATTTAATACAAATTTTATTTTAAATTAATAAATTATTCGATATATATCAACTTTTTTCCACCAACTGTCTAACAAAAAAATCGTAGAGTTGTATAATCAAGTTCTTGACAAAAAAATGAACAATACAACGTATAAATAAAAGTTTAATCGAGTTCCAATAAAAATTCAATAGAATTCAACAGAGAAAATGCAAAATTTTTCTGTCAGAATGTTTCACATGTGTCACCATAAATCAGGTATTTGCCAAAATTGTGAAGACCAAATATTTCCATCCTTGTTATGTCCCCCTCCATTCTCCACTCAAGCCTCAGATGTGGAAGAGCTAATGTATTCACTATTCTTAGTTAGTGTAGTGAGAGTCGCGAAAGAAGAAACTACAAGGGTGCAATCCCGAAGTGGGCAGGTGAACGAAGACAAAATGTGTTTCCATGGATAAAATAGCGGATTCTATACAATGAACCTAATTGTACAATCCATTTCACGGACACCAACACGACAGCAGTCTGTACATGAAAACGTACACCATATCATTAACAGCTTTTTCCTCGCAGTACAGCTGACGTCATAAATAAACACTGCCATCAATGCGTCGTGGGTATCTGAAGGCTGATCGTGCCACATTGCATCTATCTGTTGACGAGTCATAACAGTTTAGAAAATTCCAATTACTCGGTGCTGTTCATAAATTGCAGGCGAAGACATGGATAATACCAAGCAAATAGATACCGAAGAGTTGATCAAGTGGTTGAAATCAGTTGTGCTTCCGAAAATTTCCAAAATCACTGGAAAATCACGTGACAACGCGACCTTAGAAATCACAGTGCCGGAGAATTGTTTTTTCCTGTCCACCGTCTACTTCGCAAAAATAAAATTCAGTAACGATGAATCAATTTCTGTTGTGATAAAAAAACCACTATTTGCAAATGATGAGGAAGGAGGTATGCACAGTAAGGAACTATTCCACAATGAAGTGCTTTTCTACGAAGAAGTGTCGCCGAACAGTGACAGATATCCCCGATGTTTCTACGCTTACGAAGACCCTGAAAATTCAAAAATGTCATCCATCGTTACCGAAAATGTCGAAACAATGGGCTTCAGAATGTGTCCCGAAACCTCGGAAATTCCAATGAAGTATATTATTGCTGGAGTTCGTGAAATGGCTAAACTTCATGCTATGGGTTACGTCATGAAGACCAACAATTCAGGCAAATTTTTCGAGATTGTTGGCAAAATTCAGGAAGCGAGATATTTGCATGGAGAATGGAATGAACCTTTGGTGAATTTCGTCTCGTCGAGACCTATTAATTACCTGCGAAAACAAAATTACGATCCAGTTTTCTGTGACAAAATGGAGAAACACTTGGAGTATGCATTTGAGACGGTTATGTTAGATGCTGTGAAACCTTGTGAACCCTTAGCTGTGTTATGTCATGGTGACTATACAAGAAATAACATATTCTATAGAGAGACTGAGAGTGGATTGGACGCTATACTGATCGATTTCGCAATGCTGAGATATTCATCACCGGCGATTGATTTATCGACTTTTCTTTACATAAGTTGTTCAGCGAAAGACATTTGTGAGAATTTTAATGAGATATTCAGTGCTTATCATAGTGGATTGATTGATTATTTGCGGGAACACGGAATCAAAGAGGTTGATTGTTACTCATATGATAAGGTGCTAGAAGACTATAAACGGCGGGCAATGTTTGGGTATATGATAGCGCTGTTTTTCATTCCGCTACAGCGCGGCTTGGTTACTCTTGATCCAACGACCATTGGCACCGATAAGTTTATAGAATTTCATCAGGCCGCTAAGGAAGCAGGAGGGGACCAACTGTCGAAAGAATTCGCGGATCTATTCATAAATTTACGAAATAACGGTTGTTTGAGTCATGTGGAATGAGAGAGAGAAAATATTTTCACAAACTAGTTTTGTCTGAACCAAAAAAACGTCAGTTAATTACCAAAAAACTAAAATCGAGTGGTGAGCCTTGAAGACTGCCCTGGGATGAAAATTTCTTATCTCCAAAATAGTTTTAGTGATTCCAAAAAATTTGTATAATCTTTGCAAGCAAGAAATGTCATCTCCAGCACTACTTTGTCATTATTCGATACTCCTATTTTATTTGGCTAACGAAAAATGGTCGTTTTATGCAAAATAGAGGATAAATTCGGCTATGAGATAATCGTAAAATGGAAATTGGTGACTCTACGCGACGCAGCGACTTGGTTACCTCCGCGAAAATGTGCTGCCGTATTATTTAAGCTTTAACGATGAACCGGCGATGACTGAGTGTCACGAGGTGAGGCGAACTAATACCTATTCTATTCCTGCAGAAAACCAATCCCTGAACAAAAAACCTCTATCGACTTCAATTCAATGTTCAGATCAGATTTGAAGTCTTCTATGGCCAAATAATTATTGTATCACTATTCATTTTGTTTCTACATCGTGCAATCATCAAAACATTTTTATATTCAATTTTAATATTGAATGGAAAATAATTAATTTGTGATAAAAAAGTGGCAATGTCGGCCCAACATAAGTTTTTTTTTCAAATCAAGTGAAAAACTTCATCCAAAGTTTTGATATATTGAATAAATATTTTTTTACTATAAATATCTTTATTTATATCAAATAAATTTTTTCTTTGAACTAAATAAATATTTATTTGACACAAAATATTAATTGGACCTAAAATCGAAAAAGATTGAACGAAAAAATAAGACACGTAAGATATTTAGGATGAATAAGAGGGGGGGGGGGATTTCTGTTCCTTGATTCAACTATCAGGGTGACCATGGTGAAAGAAGATCGTAAATACTGGAGTGAAAAGTGTAATCCAAATTGCATCACAATGATTCTAGAGAGCTCATATCGTCCAGATTTCACGTTTCCTGGATTAGGTTCATACGACCATCTTTCACATTGGCCACGAATATTGTTGAAACATACTTTTGAAATTCTTCCACAAAATACATGAGAATGTAATCTTAAAATATGAAAACTGTTCATTTCAACTAAATAAATTGCTGATTTGATTTTGAGAAATTATTTATTTGAAATAAACAAGCTATTTGTTCAATATACGTAAGTCCTTTTTCTTGAAAAAAATTAACTAGTTTATTCATTTGTTATTAAAATATTCTTGGAATAAGTAAAAAATTTCAAATAAAGATGTTTATTTATTTAAAAAACAACAGTTTTCTGAGTGCACTTTAGATCCGCAACTCTCTTTTATACACGTTCCAGATGACCGCCGTTTATTCCGACCCGATCGGCAAGTGCTACGTTGTCGCAGTTCACAACTGCGCGCGAAGAAATTCTGATTTTTAAAGGTTTGTTTTTCTTGTAAAGGGTGTATTTATCATTATGTCATACGTCGACGAAGTTTCGTAACACTGGCTGCATTGTTACGTTCATGAGATGCATTTGCCAACATTAACGATAAGAACACGGGTTAAATTACGTTTTCTAAAATAGTTTATTCCATTCGAACCACTCTCTTCAACAATCTGATCTTCCGCACAGGACTTCAGGACATATCGAAGAATGTATTTGGAAAATGTTATAAAATTGGCTTTTTACCTCGTCGGTTTATCGTGAATGTTGCCGAATTTACTCTAGACTCCCCGGGCGCGGTTGTAATGAAATTATTTTCTGTTTTTTTTATTATTAGAAAGTTATATTTGAAAATTAATTCCAACGAAATTAATTAGACAAGAATTTCGTGAAATGAACCGAACTGCTCGACGGAAGTAGCTGACACAAAAATGTTTTCTTTCAACACAAGAAAGAAGTTAATATCGATTTTAGAGTAATTAAGACATTAATCGTCAACAAAATTATCATGAGGCTAATTAATATTTTTAGAATTACAAGTTCATTAAATTCAGTGTTCTCGTAAATAACATAGATAACTAGGATAGACCCATGGATTAATATTGAAACAATCAATTCGAAGACGATATTATTAATCAGTATTTATTAAAATCAAGTTTCATTTGGATTCATCCAAAATCAATCTTTAAATAATTCAACATCTACTCGATTTCTCAGTTTATATTATCCCGAATTTTCTTTCTCATTATCTTTTCCTTTGAATCACAAATGTCAATTTTTTTTTGTTTCAAAATATTCGTCACGCATAACACACTCATCACAAAATAGACACGCTATAGCAAATTTCGATACTAGGGCGCATGAAAAATTTTAGAAAATTTTTCTGCGCCCGTGTGTCGAACAAAATTTTTTGTCACAAGGGTCGTAGGCAGTGTTTTAGGCAGGTGTGCCTGCGACGTGCCGCAGGCACACGCGCCTAAGACGCTGTCGTACGACCAGAGTGACAAAAATGTCTATTTTGAATTTAATACACAAGATCAGTTTTTCTTAAACCCCCAAATGAAGAATTTCAAAAAGAATAGTAAAGACAAATGATTCAACTGAATGGCCAATTGAAAAATGATATTCAACAAGCTCTGTATTTAAAAATAATAATCTCGATTCTCCGACCACCATCAAACTCAGATCACTCCAAATGTTTCAAATTGAATATTTTACTTATCTTATATATCTTGACTGCAGTTCAACGATATATAATTCACCAGAGTACGTGTACTTTGTGCACTTTTCTAAGATTTTCGTTTGTGGGATCCCAATGGATATAAAAATACTGGTCTGAGAGATGTTAACGTGGTGCCGGCCCGGAGCAAAGAGAGCGAGGTGTAAATTTCTCATTGTATCGAGGCGATCAGTCAGGTGTTAGGAAAACAATCAAGTCAAGAAATCTCCTTTCAATTTCCTTCTTCTCTTTCCTCAATATTATCTTTATCCTTTCTAGCTACCATATTCACTATCGATAAAGTAATTACCCTACACGGTTAACGGGTTTTCGGAAACGTTGCATGACGGGCCATTTCATTCAACATGGGAAAAAAACATTCTTCTGTGGGAAATAATTTAGTCTCTTTTGGAATTTTGGGAATTATGTTTTTCTAAAACTACTATAATGTACTATATACTTCAATTCCGAAAGTCAAATTTTTTAAAAATGTTCCTCGTTATCTGGTCAATGGTAAGTAACGACAATCGATGCGCTGCCGCGCTGCGGCGCATCGTTTGGAACCTCAGATTCTTGGCCAGACTTAATCAACGTTGAACGATGAAGATTTTGTTTGCTTTCTGGTATGGCAAATTCCAATAATGACTGTAAGATATAAATGTTGAGTACATGTAGTTAGTGGGCAAAATTCATTCATTCACATCTAGTATTTAACACTATCTTTATAATGGGTTGGTGGTGATTGGTACAAACCTTAGAATTAAAATTGTAAGGAATTCTGGGAATTGCTTATGCGATCCAGAGACCATCAAGAACGTCGGATTCAGCGTGAGTCAGACAAAGACCCAGAGCGTTTATTGTATATTTTTTGACAAGCAGAATTTCGTATTAGCTATCTTTCGGTGATATTTTCATATTTCGAATATATTGATGGGTAGGTATGATTTTTTTTGGGTAATATTTTTGTGATATCTGTTAGGAGTTTGAATAAGTTAGCTATCGGGGACCTAGAGATTTTCGTTGTTTGGGCCAAAATATTATCGAGCTACGCGATTATGGACAGGAATTCTCCCTTACGGTTTAATCTTTGGGGACGTGTGGAGGCCCAGCTGAAATGCTGGCGCTCAGTGTATGGAGTTATCGGGATGGGACTGTTTCGGTTTTGGGTTTCTGTGGAAGTTCACACGGCCAATCGCGACCGTTGCAACAGTGTGAATTACTAAGTTCGCCATAAGTTTTAGAGAATCAAGTTTTGTTTTATGGTGCATTATGTGTTCTGTTGAATTATAATTTTTGGTGTATCATGCGTTCCTGCCCCGATAATCCTTGCGAATGCAACCCCGAAGAGGTAATGCTAGTTAGTGGACCTTATCTGGGCTAATTATCACCCTTTTACTCAGTTTCATTTTCTTTTGTTGTTTTGGTCTGTTGTCGGTTTAGGTTGAATCGAATTACGCGTTTATGGCTATTAGGTTGACGTGTCCCTTTAGCAGCTTCTTCGTACCTAGCGCTGGGTATTTGCCTACGTCACAGCGACTGACCCCACTACGTGGATATAACGCTCTCGTTCTATCTTTTGGCAAATTGTGAAAAGACAAACTTCTCTCAATAAGGTGACTAAGTTCTTGAAGGAACCAACAGTTATCAATGAAGAATTCAATCCTCACCAGCTCTTAGTGTGACCCAGGATGCACGACGAGGACGAGGTTGACGAAGAATTCCAAAAAAGAAAATATAAAAAATTTATTGATTACGTGCATTCGAATTTAATCAATGGACCTTTGGTGTTGGGGTACTATTGACTATTAATTGGTTTGCAATCACCCTCTGCGTTCAGAAGTTAATTATGTTTATATGTCTCCACTAGTTTGAATTTACGTACACTGATAGAATGATTCATTTATTCCAAACGAGATTCGTTAATAGTTGACGAATGGTTCCCTTGAAAGGTGAAAGTCGAGTCAAACAAGACTCCTCAAATATGCATTTTTTAACTATTAACTATTAAACATATCACCGGCCAGTGACCCCCCACTCCACACACGCGACTTGGGACTACCACGAGGGTCGGCAACACCGCTCGTAAAATTTCCACTACGAGAGTGGTCGCACGGTGAGGGCTGTGCTCATTCTCGCTAACCGCGCCCGACGAAAAAATTAATTGAGAAGAAAATTGTCAGTGCAAGACAACCCTACCGTGTTTAATCTCATCAGGACATATCAATTGAGGAACTCTTAAATAAGCAGAGCGTAATTCATCACATTTCTAGAGATATCGTGAAAATAATAAACACGGCGGCGTTCAGACCATAGCGCGACCACTGGAGAGTTAACCAAATCCATTTGTTAACAATAACTAATCCTGTCTATCAGTGTAAGTGTTATATGAATAACGTATTCTCGTCTTGAACAGTTTCCCGTCAATAATGTCGGTTTCACGAATTAAATAGAGGCACTCCGTGCCGTAATACCGAGATAGATATTATCATCTGTACACCGCAGATTTGTAGACTGTTGAAGACAATTATCTAATGGTTATTCGCACCACCTGTAACAAGTATTTGCGTGATCATTTACTTGGATTGCTATTCGATTAATACGAGGCTATGCAATGAATTTTAGTTAGGCTAAAGTCTGTTCATGATATAACCGCACTCAATCTACGCGGAAGAGAATTGAAAACGTGGTATCACTGGAGTGCAAACAAATTGACATTGATAGTTCCCTTTATCTGATGAATTACGAGTTGGCAAACAGTCTTCCCTCTTGATTTTCAAATATATATATGTATACATGTGGTGTACGTGTTCACTCAGTGTAGTTTCAATGTCGTTGATAAATGTACAATTTAGTATTTTTCAAATACACAACTGTTTTCTCTTTAAGTACTCGACGGATAATAGAATCATTAAGTATTGATTTGTTCGCTGCATTGATAGTTTATAATATTATAATAGCGGCTATGTATGTGGTAATAAGTACAAATGGAGGCTTCATTTGGTAAAAGGCCTGATAACAAAACTCCTAGGCAACCCATGCATAGTTGCCTACAAATTTTTCTTCATCAGACATCTGTTTTCTCTTTAAGTACTTGACGGATAATAGAATCATTAAGTATTGATTTGTTCGCTGCATTGATAGTTTATAATATTATATATAGCGGCTATGCATGTGGTAATAAGTACAAATGGAGGCTTCATTTGGTAAAAGGCCTGATAACAAAACTCCTAGGCAACTCATGCATAGTTGCCTACAAATTTTTCTTCATCAGACATCTTTTATAAACCGGTCTACGGTTCTGCTGATGACTCAAGGAAGGTTTGGTGATTGAACAATGAAAGCGTGTATGTATTTATACGTAGGTTGGTAGTATGCCTTTGCGTTTAATGATGATGAATGAACATTGCATCTCAGTGAATTTATACGAAACAAATGTACAACCTGTATTATATGAATTTACAAAATAAATGGATAAGTTATGGTAATTATTTGCATTTCTACAATTTCGATTCCGTTCAGAATATTTACTCACGAATGTTCGTTTATATTTTGTATCACATTCATCAACGAAGAAGAGATAATTGTGTGATATGACAAGTAATCAAATTAATAATTAGATTAGTAACAGAGACAGTTTTTTCAACTTCGTCTTATCTGTAGAAACTATTATAATCGGAATAAATTCGAAAAAATTGAAAACATCTGAACATTTACCATTTTTTTTCAATTATTTTCAAGAATCAATTATAAACGTAGAGAAATTCTTTAGAAAAAATTTAGTGCTGGTACTGGAAAAAATTCCAATGCACCGGCAATGAAAAATTCTAGTGCTGATAAGGTAAAGTTTCTAGTGATTTCTGATACAATTTCCGGGGATTTCTGTGAAAATCTCACGTAAAAATGAGGAAAATTAACGTGCTAAAACTTCTAGTGCTAGTACTGGAATTCTTCCCTGACCATAACTTTGCGCCCTTTTTCCTGTGTTATCATTAGAGTTTTGCTAAATTTCTTTCCGTGTATTGAAAGAAAAATCACTCATTTTCGAAAATATCATCTGACCACAATTTCATAAAACTAAAACTTTGAGAAAAATCCTCATCTTTTGTGGACATTTACATAAAACGGGGGGAGAAAATATTTCCATTTTTTTTGCACCGCATAAAAAAATTCACTGCAAATCGATATATGAATTGTTCATTTGCTCAAGGAGTTATCATACTTTTAATAGTAAGCTCATATTTGATTCGAATTACTGAAACCTAGGATGAACATTCAATAGCTGTTCAAAAATTCGGATTATTGTTAGACTTTCTGGATAAAACACTTCCATTATTTCCAGAAAGAAAGGTTCATTTCGATATTTTCTAATGGGAATACCACCGACAAATCAGGTGATTTAATCAAACTTATCACTAAATTCCCTCTCGAATTGTCATAATGTTGACTCCGAGTGCACTGCATTTTAACGTCCCGGCTTCTCATATAGTTTTCATATCATTCAAAAAACTTGGCAAAAAATTGTTACAATTTTTAACTTCCCGGGCAGGGAAGTTATTGTAAAGCCCCCGAAAATGAAAAATCGATTTTCCATGATATCTCCACGTTTCAAGGTGTTTCTAATGTTCCTCGATAGTTTTTAACAAAATGTCTGTGGGTGTGTGTGTGTGTGTGTGTGTATGTGTGTTACTTTGTACGTATGTGGTCAAAATTTTGGTCAACGATTTCTCGTGAACGAATGGTCCGATTTAACTTTTTTTTTCTCCAATCGATACGTCTTCATGTAACTTAGACCGGATTAGATTTTGGTTGATATTGGTCTGATGGTTTTCGAGTTATTCCAGAACGAAAAATTCAAAATAGAAAAAATGACCAAAAATTTCTCATTCTCATAAGATGCTCATAACGAACGATTGTAATGAAGAAAAGCTCTTCATTTTCTCCAATTTTTTTCATATATTTTCCACCATGATATTTCTTCCGTTTTTTTCTAATTTTTTATTTATTTTATCAACTTCCCGATCTATCCGGTAGTTATTGTAATCACCCTGAAAATGAATCATTAGTTTTTTGCGATTTATCCACGTTTCTCGGTGTCTAAAACACTTCTAAACAACATATCTGTACGTGTGTGTGTGTATGTGTGTATGTAGGTCTGTATGCCACGGAATTTTCGTTAACGATTTCTCCCGAATGACTCGCGCGATCAAGATGATGGAGGACGCAATCGAAAGGTCTTCATGTAACTTAGACCTGATTAGATTTTGGAGTGATTCGCTCCAGTAGTTCTTCCAAATTTTCCTGGAGAAATGTTTGAAAATGGCTAAGATAAGTATTTCTCCTGTATAAATGACGTGATTGGGATTGTCAACATCAGGATATCACTAGAGTCAATCACTCCAGTGGTTTATCTAGGATTTTCTGAAACTCCAGTGATTTTTCCAGCGGTTTTTCCAAAATTCCCTGGAGAAAAGTTTGAAAATCGCTCAGACAAGGGTTTCTCATGAATAAATAAACAGAGTATTGAGAGTTGAAAAGGATTCTTTTAGTCAAAATGGGAGGAATAATAATATCGGGAAGTTGTTGGTGCGACCCGTCCGACGGGTCAGACCCACATGAATACATCCGCTACCAACCCACCCGCAATGGGAGCGAGCGCAGCGAGCGACCAACAGCCCAATCCACTAGTTTCTTTCAGTTTTGTCACGCTCAATACATTAATTTTTCCATTTTTTTCAGTTTTTGATAAAATCTTCTGTTTAGACAGAGGTAAATTTTTTTTTATACTCATATTTGGTACTAGTTATAAGAATCAACTGGAAGCCTATTCTCGACTCAGGATCGTACGGTCGTACGACAACGCGTCACATGCGGCCCATAAGCGAACTGCTGGGTCGTATGCGACTCGCTTTCGTACGATCGTACGATCCTGAGTCGAGAATAGGCTCCCTGGGAACATTCAATATTTATTCAGAAATTCGAATTGTCATTAGACTTTTGAAAAGAACATTCTTGTTAATCCCAGATAGGAAGATTCTCGTCAGAATTTTTCAATGAAAATATCACCGGCAGATTAGTTGATTTGATCAAACTTATCACTAAATCTCTAGAATGATCCAATTGTATCCGAAATACGTGACTAAACGATAAAGCTCTTACTCCTCTCTATTGAAAGTCTTGCAAGATCATGCCACTTATCTTCGAGTCATTATGATGTTGATTCTGGATGAATGACATGTTAATGGGCCGGAATTTCACAGCGGATAATAAGAGGCAGATAACGAGGCTCGTGGGCTCTTCATAGTTTACTGAACACAAACAATGAAGGATTTTGAAATGTCAATGTCACTTATCGTAATCTTCATATTAACAAGAGATGGAGTCCTTCAGATTCTGAACGAATAGTGCAGAATCACTAGCAGTAGTTCCTGATTTTTCAATTGCTGCAAAATCAGTTTAACATTGAGTAACAACTCGACGAGACCACTGCAATGAGTACAATGATAGAGTGGCTCGAGGTAGATGTGATACCAGAAGTGATCAAACGTATCAAAAAGCAAGGAAGAAAATACAAATGTGTTTGGTCATCATTTGGAAAGTCTTTCTTCCTCTCCCGAGTGTTTTTGTTGGAACTAATTTTCGAAGAAAATAAGAAAAATATGAAAGAATCTGTTCATTTAGTCTTGAAATGTCCACCAGTAACAAATGAATTGTTATGGAAGTTGCTTGATAATAAGACTTATGCCAACGAGATTGTGTTCTATGAAAAATTCGCCAGGAATTCTCCGAAATATCCCCCTTATATTTACGGCAGGGCTGACGATGTCGACAAGACCGTGGTGATCATGGAAAATGTTAGCAGGAGGGGCTTCAAGATGCGTTCGCAATTATACGATATTCCATTCAAATATGTGATACATGCGATTCGTGAAATTGGAAGATTCCACGGTGCTGGTTACGTGATGAAAGAAAAGAATCCCGGTAAATTCAAAGAAATTATTGAAAGTATACAGATATCCAGATTCGTCTCTGGTTCGAGGTGGGAACCTCTAATCAAAGTAGTTTCACTTAGACCTGTGGAGTGGCTTCGCAAAATCAATCATGATCCTCTTTTCTGCGACAAGATGGAAAAATACTTGGGTGATGCATTCAATAGTATCACGCTTGACGGTCTGACACCAGTTGAACCTCTAGCTGTTTTGCTCCACGGTGACTTTACCGGAAGCAATGTATTATTCAATAAATCATTGAATAAAGTGGAGACCATGTTGATAGACTTTGGTACGATATGCTATGCATCACCAGCGGTAGATCTGTCTACTTTGCTATTTTTAAACGCTTCATCTGAAGATAGGAAGAATCGATTTGATGAAATATTTGGAGCTTATCATGAATCACTGTTGGAGTACCTGCGAGATGCTGGTATCAAGGATCTTGAAAAATTTTCCATCGAAAATATGCTAGATGATTATAGAAGACGAGCGGCTTTTGGGTACATTATCGCTCTATTTTTCTTACCTGATTTGCGGGGATATTCGAATGATAATGATAGCGATGATGGACCTAGTCGAGATCAAGCGAGTATTGAAGAAAAAGCCAGGAAGATGAAAGCAGGTGGTGGAGACACTATGTCAGAAGAATTTGCAGATATGTTGCTGGAACTCCGTGATATGGGGTGTTTGGATCATGTTCTTTACTAAATCCAGTTGAACTGAATGAACAACTTGCAATTTGTCTATATATAAGAATATAGGTGAATGATATTCACTTTGTGACTTTTGTAAAGCAGATTAGCATCGAGTTTAGTGTAATTGGAAACGAAAAATTTTGAAGGGAGACATCTTTTACATTGGAGCTAATAAACTCGATTCGATCACCTGTATTAAACTTTTCACCTCGAACTGCTAGTCTCAATTATAAATGAGGTCATATTGAAATAACATGTTTAGTACCTTCAAGAATTTCGAAGACAATTGATATTCTTAAGGAATTAACTAAGCCTGGAAGTGAGATTGAATTAACAAATATAGTGACGTGCATTAATGTGCTGCAGAGAGCGAATCAGTGATCGTCACGGATATTATTCGATAGTATTTCAATAGCTATGACACGTTTTCAATGATGAAGTATGACTATCAGTGATGAATTCGAAATTTGTTAAATATAGCCTATTTTGAGGCCGTCACACAAAAAGCAGTAAAGTACACCGATATTAGAAAAAGAACAGTTGTGAAGTTGTCAACAATAAATTTTTTTTTCATACCGCACCCGACCCATCATGTACATTTTCAATAAATTATATTTCGTCCTTTAATAAGTCAAATTTAGCAATGAAATGTGAGAATGTGAATAAAATAACGTTCTTTCAGATGGGCAGAAAATACAGAAGTCTGTCGTGAACTGTTTTTTAGATAATATTTCAAGATTGAATAAATATATTCGAAGAATAGCGAAAGCCCTGACTCGTTCTCCGTAAGTTATGGCGTCCAGAAGCAGGATTTGTTTTTCGATCAATTTCTCTCGTTTGAAATTCAGTTTGACTTTCATGTCTTTAATATGAAATCACAATGAATTTGAAGGGACCCCATATTTATCATCTTTCGAGTACAGCCTGGAAGATGACAGCATTCATGAGACTTGGATGGGATTACAAATTCAGAACTGAAGGGTCAGAAAATGCGGAGGATCAAAAAATTCTGCTCCTCGAATTGTATTTAAATTTTTCAAGACTATTTCCCCCATTTCTTGCCACTCATATCGATCACATTGTCCACTAAGGAATATGGATTACCAATAACTCAGTTCCTCTCTGAGTTGACCAATATGAAAGGTAAGCAATTATCTCAGCATAGATTACGGAGTGAATGACAAAGAGAAATTCTGAAAGAGAAATTAATTCGAACTGACATGTTCAAATACCAATCTTTTTTTATTTATCTCAACGTTTTCTCCAACCGCCAAAAAATGAATCAATTCATGTTCCTCCTTGACACTTAATTCATCATCTTCCATAGTGAAGTATATTTTGTGACGAATCGACAAAGGTAACTCAACAATTACGCTGATTGATAAAATCGGCTTTTGAAAAATCTCCTTCTTTCAGTATTTTTTTATCATCTTCCAGGCAACTAAAATAGAAACTTCTACTAATACATGTGAATTATCAACTTCCTGAGCCAAAAGGAGGAAGTGATGGTAATAACCCTGAAAATGAAATGTTAAATTTCGATGATTTGTCCACGTTTCATGGTCTCTCGAGTCATCCTGAAAGGTTTTTTGAGATATGTTTGCGTGTGTATGTGTGCGTGCATATGTATGCATGTGATGGAAAATATGTTCAACGATATCTCCGGAATAAATAAACCGAGACAACTTTTCCTTCAATCGATGTATCTTTATGTAACTTAGAACTGATTAGATCATGTGAACGATCACCTCCGCACTATGTCAGTTATTCGTATAAAACATGTAAAAAATGCAAAAAGCGTCAATTGCATTGAAATTTGACGATTTTACTTGAGATGACGATGCAATATGAATTCATTTTTTATAATCGATGTGTTTTCACATAATTCAATTCTACTTGAACGTTGAGTGGAATCTTCTCAGCGGTTGTTCAGTTTGGATGAATTCTTTCAAAATTCTCTTGTTTTTTCTAATCAACAGAAAAAGAACATCGGTCGGGAAGTTATTGGTTCGACCAGTAATGTATCACACGAAATTTCACCAACCCTTACCTGTCACACCCCAACCCGTGAGTGAGCAGAGCGAGCGACTGGCAGTGATTACTTCAATTGATTTTCATGAGACAATGCTCATACATGTATTGAAAAATAATAATATACGTGAAATGTATCAGTTTAGATTGCTTGATATTTTATTCTGCGGTGTTGTGAAATATTTCTACATATTTCGAAGGATGAAGTAGATGCGAGTATATCACCTCACATAAATGTATACAACAATGTGTTTGTTTGTTATTGTTTAATCTATTGAGAATGAAAATGAAGAAAATATCAATAAAATTAACTCTTTTTTTAATTCTAAAAAAGAAGAAAAATGAGACAGTATGATTTGTAATGTGGGAGTGAATAATAACCAAAGAACATATGTTTGATACGGTATACTATCCATTATTAATGGTTAAACAATCTATTGCTTCTTTCAATAGTCATGACGAATCGAACATGTAAAAGATTAAGAGCTTTCTACTGTGAGGTTTCTATACAAACATTTCACGTAACATAAAAACGAATGATCGTCTTGAAACATTTGCGTTATTCTCTTTTACCCCTTTATAGGGTGATGAACCTATTGCTGATTTTCCAATTCTCATGAATGAATGATACATATTCAATACAGCACATATGCGTCCTTGCAAATAATTGTTTACTCGTGACGTTCATCACTCACGAATGTACGTCAAAGAGGAACAATCAAAGAGTATCCTATATCTTCTATTATCACAGTTGGTTTTATGAAAGAAACTCAGTGGGTTTTTTTATTAAAAAGACAACAAATTTTGACTGTTCAATGGGTATCACCAATTATGATAAATTGAGAAAAATTTCCCGTCGAACACTATAAATAGCGAGGAATAATCCACTAAGTCACAATTTGACGATTCGCCGTCGATAGCGAGGAAGTTCAACTTGCTTCAATTGGTGAGTACATTATTACAATTTCATGTAAAGACTAAAACATTTAATAAAGACAGTTTCCTATAGAAAATTAAAGGAGCCATTTAATTTATTCCGTTCTCTCCGCCAGGAGAAACGAAAAGATGATTCTGGAATGCCTACTGCTGTCGGTGGTAACTTTGAGTCAAGCCACTGAGGTAATTGAATACATTGTATCTGAATAAGTTATCTGTTAATGGGTGGATGCTTAGTCCAGTATTCGCATGGGAAATGTATAATTTACAAGATCAGATGAATTACTATAAACCCATCCGGGCAATGGTGAAGAAACATTTCATGTAAGAAACAGAATACCAGCATATTCAATTTCAAGAATCGCTGCAAATTGTTTATGATGATAGCGATGAGTTTTGCGTATTTCGAAGAAATTCCTTATAACATGTGAAAAATCCGATCGAAACCATTACCCCGGATTTCAAGCGAAAATTATTCGATTTTTTAGTTCAATTTGGGAATTTTCTCCACTGGAAAACATTAAGAACAACATATTAAGGGTGCCAAGTGAATTTGAAAAAAGATTTAAAAAAAAATTTTTCTTTCCCTTCATCATTGGAGAAATATGTATTCATCCATCCGACGAAATTTCAAACCCTCTATTAATGCGAAAATCCTCTATTTCGCGTAACGAACCTCGAGAAAGCATGGGATCAAATGGGTACGACGGATTGAAATATCTCTCGTATTCAGCCGGGTACCCCATTGTTTTTTGTCGCCATCACATTGAACACATCATTCCCCATATCTTCAAATTTTTTCAAATTTTTCTTGAGTTCCTAGGGGGTTGAAACGTTCAATTTAATCAAAACTCCATAAGAGGCCATGTATAAGGCTGATTTTGTTTATTTAATTTCTCGATATCCATAAGTTCTAAAATTTTAAAATTGTCACCCATGTTCACCATCTGTCTAATACTATTAATTAAAAAAACTATAACTTTGTTGGTGAATGTCAATTTTCAAGGTCATCGCCAAATTCACTTGGCATCCTTAAAGGAATGTCGCTTTTATAATGCAAATGACTAAATCATCATGATTGTAATTTCAGCTCCATCACCATATGAATGAGGAAGAGATTCAAACAATTTTTCGAGTTGCACGAAATGCAGGTGCGTTACGATAGAACAAACATGATTTCAGAAATAATAGAAATGTGCGAAGAGAGATTACATCTGACTTGTTTCAGTTCCTGACTACGAGGTTGTTCCTGTTTTCCATACTTTACACAAACGGAACGCAGGCGATGATCAAGTGGTGAAATTCACGGCATTTGGCAACGACGTAGAGCTTAAGTTAATACCAAATAGTGGTATTTTGTATGGAAACAATACTCCTGTGTTTACAGTAGTCCCAGATAATACTAAACCTTTCGGAGTGAACTTCACCAAAATCATCAATGTGAGTAACGGAATCGCTGATCATTATATGATAGTGCATTGTATCTACGGCGCTATAAAATCGCGGATTTGTGACAATATCATTTCAATACGTACGAAACAGATGAAAAGTTTCAAAATGTGTTATTTTTATTTTCGAATTTATTCCATAGCCCTATGAAGGAATTGGTCTACCATATCTAGATGAACAAACCATGTCAGCAATTATTATGAAAAAGGATCTTGATGGTTACGTGCAAATATCAGGAATAATTCTGGATGACTATATTATACAACCCGTACCGGCAAGACTCAACAATCTTATCAGAAATACACGCAGTGTAAATGAAACAGATGATAGTTTCGAGCAAACTCATCATCATATTATTTTCAAACAACCTAACCCCACCAAAGAGGAACTTCAACGGGGAATACGTGAGTTCGAAATATGATAGTCTAATTCGAATTGTGGGGGTCATTTTTATGAACTACGCATACGTAAAATGTATTCGTTTTTAATACCCAATAATCGATCACTAATGCGGTGAGATTAAATCAAGATTTGCTTTTGGAAATCTCCAATATCTGCTGAATATCTCGTGTAAATGATGAAGTTACCAAGTTCGTTTACTTTAATTCGACATGTCCAGATCTGTTGTCAACAGAAGACGGTGAATTCTTCCTAGCTAAGAAAGTTTTTTTCCACTTTCTAGAATTGGTGAAACCCCAGTACCCTTATCAACATGATTCAAGAACTGGAAGATCACAGCGTGACGTCTCCGGTGTCGCCTACCCAGAAATTTTGGTCACTATGGATTACTCTCTATACATGTACATATAATCTTTGAATTTTTTCACGTTTTATAACAAATGCAGGAGCGGATTCTCAAAGAACGATGTATAATGAATGACTCTTATTTACAGAACTCAGCCGGATTTTAAAACAGCAGTGACATATCTGATGGCATTTTGGAATGCCGTTGATCTCCGCTTTAAATTATTGACCCAGCCAAGAATTGAACTGAATATAGCGGCATTCATTATTTCAATAGTAACTAAATCAGCCAATTCAGCAGAGAATTAGGTAATATTTTACTTTTACTTCCAGCAAAACGGTGGAACTCCATTCATTATGGGCACAGGAAATGAAAGCAGGTTGGTCAATACTTCCGATGCTCTCGGTGCAATGAGAAAATTCTTCTATCCTGACGGCAAAATTCCTGTGAACTACGATATAGCAATAGCAATGACTCAGTTGAGTTTGAATTTCATTTCTAATTTATCGGTATCCAACTATTATTTTTTAGTAATGTAATCATCATATTTGCAGACTGGACCTATATTTCGGGGCGTTCGTCCGCGTTATAACCGGTAAAAGTCAATTTCTTAGGAGAAAGACATTTAATGGTACGGTGAGCTTACTAATGAAATCGAATTGTTTTAAGGAATGGCATATGTGGCAGCACCGTGTAACCTAAGTCCAAGTGAAAATGAAATATTTTCACTTGCAATTGTAGAGGACAATGGGGCATTTAGAAATGTACTAATGGCTGCTCACGAATTAGGACATTTGTAAGTCATGTCAGTCATTACATAGGGACCCCAATAAATTTTCAAAGGTTTACTGAAGAGCAGGGTGTGTGTTAAATAGCTTGCGAAAAAATTATGTATTTTCATATTCATATAGGATAGTTAATCGATTGGGTGTAACATTTTTCGATATTTTCAACATATGCATCACGTATCGGAAGTTATTCAATAATTACTCAAATAGACCAAAATCGTTTCCAATTCAATTCAATTGTTTGTTAATCAGTCAAAAATTATGAGATGAATAAAATTGACTACTCTCTGAAGATTGGGTGCTGACCACGATGGAGAGAAAGAAAATAAGAATTGCACCGGAAACCAAGGTTTACTGATGAGTCCTGCGATAGGTTTTCTAGAGGAATATTACTACTGGTCTGATTGCAGTATACAACAGATTCGGAAATTAATGAAGTAAGTATGAATATGATTGTCATCAAGGCATTAACTCTACAACATTATCTTCATTTATTATTTTTCAGCTCTAAGTTGGCTGCATGTCTATTCAACGTTCCTCAACCGGGGAGACCGCCGCAGGCACTATTACCAGGGGAAGTAAAGTCGTTGGACGAACAATGCCAAATAGCAGTTGGCACGAATGTTTGCCGGGTAAGTTCCCTTTCCATAAAATACTTTCTCCTGATTTCGAATTTAACTATCCTAATTCTGAATTTAACATCCTGCATGGCGTCTTCATGCAGTATATGAAAAATCATGTTTTGCATAGTCATGGTTGTTGATCGGAAATGATTTCTTCAAAATTTCGCACTCGAATGGTGACTAACATTTACATTCTATTTTCCATTTTGTAACAATTTATGATTTCAGCACAAAATGGAAAATATTTGTGAAACCCTATGGTGTCTTGACCCGGAAAAGGAAGGTTCGTGCGTAAATCCCAGCGCAGCTGCTGAGGGATCAATCTGTGGTGATTATAAGGTAACATGATAGAGTAAATCGTGAAGCATGAAGCTAGTGAACAATATCTTTCATCCCTAGTCCGATCATGAAATATGAGCAACGTTCCCATATATTCATTATTCACTGAGATTGATTGAGTTTCACTTTGCAGGACTCGATTTACGGATGATTTAAAACGAACCATTACCCTTCATCCGAGCTATTTACATATAATATCTGAATCTACAAATAATATTGATCTCTAATAAATAAGTCGATTTTCTTAAGGTATGGAATTGAACAGGCAACAATCTCACACGATATTGTATATTTTTCCAGCACTGTATGAGTGGCATGTGTGTCGGTACATTGGGCATGTCAATACTAGTGCACAAACATAGCAGCCGATAGTTCCGAGGCCAGGGCCGAAACCATGGCTGGACTTCGGGGAGAAAAATATTTAATATATTAAATATAATAATATAATAATAATAACAAAATAATATATTATAAATAAAAATAATAATAATATTATTATTATATATTAATAATATATTATTTAAATATAGTATTAATATATTATATAGGGGTTAATATATTATTAATATATTAATAATATATTAATCCCTATGCAAGGTACTCAAAAAGCGGAGTCCTCAGAATAATCTCATTCAAATCCCACTGGAGTGGATTGCTTGGAATCAACAAATGAGAAACAATATCTAACAGGGTTAGGTTTTCATGAAGACAGTGATAATTTCAACTCCTGGAATCACTTTAAACCTTTTATGATTGAAAGTCTATGATTGAAATATAATGTATGGGCTGATGAAAAAGTTTATTATAGAAATATTGAGATGTTATCAGCATAGGGATAACAATTATGAGTACATATGTTGATAATAAATTGTTTTCGCATTATCCAGATTCTGTTTATTTTCAGACCCTTTCACCTAATGTTAATGATTTGAGGAAGGTAGTATATTGTGGATATTCCTAAAGAGAAAATCTGTGAGGGTATTCTTGAAAAACATTGTTTAGGAAATTGCTGTTTCCTTAACATGTTTTTGGACTGCAACTTTGTGGGATTTTGTAAATGATTATATGTCATTGTAATCACTGAAAACATGCAAAATATAATATTATTATCATAGTCCAAATACTCTTTAGAGTCTCCTCTTTTCCAAACGTGGCTATCAACTTAATTGCAACCGCCCAGCTGCTCGTCTCCTGTTTCCCTCAGAATACGTGACAAAATAGTAATCCACCGAAATTATGTTGGCAAAATCCATTCACCAAGTTCTGGACAGATGATTATGTGGTCACAAACACCAATCGCCCAATTCATGCAGTTGATAATATTCATTGATCTCAAAATTCTCGGCAGTTCAAATCTGCTTAATCTTCTGAGTTCTAATCGATTGATCTTAGGTAGTCAGATTCTGCCATTGAGGCAGCAATTCTCAAGATATTTGCTAAATACTAATTCTATGTTTTAACCATCTGAAGAGCAAATCATACCAAACCCTATCAATGTGAGCGGAGTAGGGGAACGGAAAACCCTGCTTAGATCTTGTCTGTGGTAGTGAGCGTTGTCTTCAGTGAGTTAATGACTCAGATACTAATTCCATGATTTTTCAATTATCAGGAAAATTCATCACATCAGACCGAGATCTACATAGCATATCAACATAATACCAGCCATCCAAATTGGATTAGTCATGACTAATTAAAATGTCTTTCGTTGCACAGATATATATGCACACTTCTTTTGAGCATGTGATATGCTTACATTTTAGTACTTCTCAAGTGACAATTCATACGCTGGTTATAATTTTATCCCCAAAATAAGGTACCCGGCTGAAAATAATTGATATTTACTTACTTAAGGGTGTAAGACACGAATATATTGGTTATTTTTGCCATTCGGGTGGGCTAAGGTATTTGTATTCACAATTTAATTGTTGAAATCTTCATACTGCGAAACAGTGTTCCGAAGTAATCATTTTTTTTGTAATATTTTCCACTCTAAATGAAATTACATTTATATTTTTCAAATTGAGATGCTACATTTTTCTATTATTTCGTCAATCTGTAATCAAGTCGAGAAATTGATCGATAACTGAGTAATCGTTAATCGATTGTAAGAAGTATTATTTATAATGTAACCAATAATCAGAAACATTAATACATTGATTGCTTCATCAATCATCAATTTCATTAGTCAACCGTTTGATTTTCCAATAAATTAGTATTGACGCTGGGAAAATACTCAATAACTAAAAAATAATGGATCATATCGAAAATTTTTTCTATTATTCCGTTAATCATCAATCCAAAAGTGAAAATTATTGATTATTGTGCAGATCGTCTATTCGATTAACATCATTCAATTACCCAATCAATTTTTAATTCGAAAATATTATTATCCGTTAACACGCTTATTCTTTAATCGTTCTCACACATGTGCAGTGGCTCAATTCAATCCGATCACCTTCCCGGCCTTTCTGGCCTTCAATAAATGCTCAATTTCAATGAGCTGTTATTTGAATACTCACGCAATTTGTAATCGAAATATGTAATTTGTCTGTTATTAAATCAACGCGTAATAAGTTCCTATGGTTACTCCATTACAACTCCAATTTATCATTGAAAGTGAGAATTTGCAAATTGGCCAGTAAATTATGACTAATATATTGTAATTATTCAATCATTAAATCATATTGTCCCTCAATCACAGAATGAGATCTTTGTATTGTAGAATTCAATAAAAGGTGTCAATCGTCACACAGAATCTGAGCTACCGTGTGGACTATTTTTTGCCTTGTTTTTACTCTTCTTCGTCATACTTATGATTTTCCCGATCATTTTCCCTTATTTCATTCAGTACAATGATGGATGCAGTAATTGAAAAATCAACAATTGATATTAATCATTACTCGTGTAATGAGTAATCTCATTTGTTATTATCCATTATTTGGAAAATGAGTCAATTCATCATATTAATTGACCAATTACTCGGCAATCAGTAATTTCAAAATTCGATTACTGATTTACCACAGAATTGAGTAATTTCAGATTTCAGTTGAGGATTGATTGATAATTGAAATTTTTCAAATACTCATTACTCATTTCTCGAATAAATATGTATTATCAAAATATAATTACTGATTGCCCAAGAAATGGAAAAATATGTAGCTCTTTCTAGATACAAATTGAGTAATGTACAAATTCGAAACATCAAATAGTAATTGAGAGAGTAATGGTCAACTAAATATTTTCATTAAACATTTTCCAAATATTCTCGAATCTCCAATGATAATTACAGGTTGACTACACTCTAAAAAAAGATTACTTCTGATAAGTAGGAAAACTACTTGTATTCAGTACCGAGGCGTTTCTGGAGAAAAGCTAATTTTTTTACTTGGTCCAAGTCGAAAATCGACTGAATACAAGTTTTATGCTCCAAGTACAATTAGCACTGGTGACAAGTACCAACTGTACTCATCATCAGTACTGAAAGTACTTGTACTGAGTACCGAGCTGTACTTCTCAAAAGTAGAAAAAATACTTGAGACAAGTAGTAATAGTACTCAAATCCAGTACCAATGGATTTTCGCGGAATATTACAGTAAGATTCATCATACAATGGAGATCGTTGAAAAACGAAGAATTAATGCAAATAAAATTATTGTTTATTGTTCGTTTGCCCCTCAAATGCTTGAAAATTGAAATGTACTGGACTACAGTCCAGTGTAATAAATTCTCGAGCTACAGAGATTTTTTTTTCAAAATTTTTCAAAAGATGTGTAGAATAACAATTACCAATTAAGTTTTCCAAATTTAATTTCCAAATAGTCCTTTTTTTTAATAACAAAAAAGGTAATATTCATGCGAAATAGCCAGCAAAATGATTCTCAAAATAATTGTTATATTTTATATTGAACAAAAAAATTGAAGTATTAATCTTTTGAGCTATCTTGTGTGAAAATTGCAATTTCATTATGCGACAAAGAATGAAATTGCCTATTTAGAAGTCGAATTTTGAAAAAAAGTAGCTCGTAACCGTTATTCTAGACATCTTTTGAAAAATTTACAAAAGGAAACCCCTGTAGCTCAAAAATTGAGTACACTGTGCTATTTTTCTTCATTTTCAAGGTCTTGGGGGCAAATAAACAATAAATAATCGTTTTTTTTCCCACTTATTCTTCGTCTTTCAACATATATAAATAATCAATCATCAATGTGTGATAAATCTTACTGCAATATCTCGCGATTTTTAAACTCATCGTAACCTCCCCTCGATGAAATTTGGTCATTGTCATCTGAGAATGATAATGATAATGATAATGAGAACGATAATGAGAATGATAATTAATGATATGAAATTCCCCAACAAAATAACCAACCAAAAGTACTGGAATCAAGTCATAAAAGTACTCGCGAGAAGTAGAAAAATTACTTGCTCCAAGCATTAAAAGTACTTGTGAGAAGTAAGAAAAATGCTGACAGGAAGTAATAAAAGTACTTCCTCCTAGTACTTTTCCTACTTGCTTAGCAAATATTATACCTCACCCAAGGACATGAAAAGTACTTGGGACAAGTAGTTTCCCAACTTTTCACAAGAAAACTTCTCCCAAGTAGAATTCAGTACTGGTGAGTAGTAACTTTTTTTTAGAGTGTAATGATTTCATATTTCAGGTATTCAAGAACTGATTACTTTTGTAATGGGTAATAGATTGTTTGAGTTATCAAATTTTCGATAGATGAAAAAATTCAGTTTTTGAATTCTGGAATTCTTGAATAATAGAATAATGGTATTTTCAGATTACTCTTTTTCCGAACCCTGCTACGAAATCATATGGAAAAAAAATTCGAACAAAAATGTTCATTTTCATGAAAGAAAACTATTTGTGTCACATGAGAATTATTAATAGTCAAATAATATTTGTATTCTGCTGTGAATCAATTTTAGGAATTGGACAACTGAATGCTGTTTTTGTCGATTGCAATGATAACATACGTATTGAACATAATACATGATATTTCCGAATAATTGTTTGATCATGACGTATATTATCAATTACAGTGGCACTTTCCTCAGAGGAAATGCGTCAAAGAGGAGCCATAAAAATTGTATTATGGAAGATACCCGGAAGACTCTATCATCATAGCTGGTTTCCTGACGAATAATATTTCGTAAGTTTTATTATGGCGCCGATTACAACTACTGAATACTTGATGGATATCAATAATAAATCATGTATGGCAATGAAGGTTGGCTGTCTGGAACCGTTTCACAACTATCGTGAGTAATCAAGTGTTCATTTCTCGAACGACGATCAGTAGGTGATCGCGCCGAAAACTACAACTGGCGTAAAGTAATCAACCGAGGTTAAATTCAACGGCTTGTTTTTTATAGTAAGGAACCTCGAATTACCTCAATTGGTGAGTAGAATATCACGTTT